GCGAAAGTAATTCGTGCTATCTATATTTTACTCCATTTTGGCCCGCAAAATCGGCTCGAACTTCTCCAAACGTGGATCACGTATCGTAAGATGTTAAAAATGCTATTTCAACCAGTGTTGTTTAATTCGTAACGGCGAAAACTAGTGCATACCTGAACAAATATAAACCGGATTTTGTCGACGTATCGAAAGATTCAAAAGAATAAGCGACAGACGGCATGTGCTTATAAGACTCTCGTTACGCATTGCATGGCATATTTTTGCAGAACTCTCTAGCAACGCTGAATGCCTGTGGTGTACTGTTAGATATCCATCGGCAAATCAGTGGCATAAATAAATTCATACAACCTACCTTCAAAGGCAAGGCAAATGCTCGTTTATTCTTGTACTTCCGGGTTTCAATCTCAGAGTCTTTTGTGAAGATGTCTAACAACCACACCGGTATCTCAGACGGTCTCGGAGAGGGCAGTGTAAGTTACCTTTGCGATGTAGTGCATTATAGCGCGTAACACGAGAAACTGAAGCACAGTCTCCGCAATTAACGCGGCCAGCAGTTAACAAACAAGTCGAAGACGAAGAACGGGGAAGAGGTCTGGGGAAGCGTAACTATTATGATTGATTTTGACGCTTACACGGTCATTACACTGCATCTTCTATTATGTTTCTTCCGTTGTTATTTGATATTTTGTGACTCAATAAACAGTTTCCTAGCAAGTTTTGAAGACAATTAATAGTACCATGGTCATTGTAGGATGGATATAATAAATAACCCTATATTAACAATGATATAAATAGTCGCCAACTTGCCAAATTTAACATGGAAATACTGCTGTGATTGTGCTGTTGTAATTGTTTCGTTCAATGTTATTCACTGTTTCAATTTCTAACAGTTCACTCCTCTGCCCCCTCAGTGATCTGTCTGTTTCTATGGCTTCGTTCAGTTAAAAAAGTCAAATTTGCTCTTTTTCATATTGGAACATTCTTTAAATCAAATGGATAAAAGGGCTATTTTTGGCGATGTGGCCATCTACACCATTTGTTTGTCTTTATACAGGGAAATTTCACTATATCAGAACAGATCAATTGCTTGCTTATTTAGTATTAATGATTCATGGGGAACCAATGGAAACCATCAAAATCAAGCCCTAAATCATTCTAACTCTCCCAGTGTTGTTATAAAGTTTATCTTGTGTCTTATAAATTATAGAAATTAATGATGAGGATATGCGATCTTTGAATTTCTTGCCATTTCTCAAAAAATGATTTTAATAATCTTTGATGATAGCGAACGAATGTATTTCGATTGATCGCTTTGGTGCCATCATGACTGTCGGTCGCATATGGAATGAGAATGGAATGAGAAACACTATTTTCAGCCTTTTTACCTTCAGGTAGTATTTCAGGCAGTCTTCTAGCTTCTCCATGTTTGGGTGGGACATCAACAAAGTTTTCCAAAGTCACGTAGTGGAACGTATGCTAATGACAGCGCTTTCGGGTTTGTCTTCGTCGAAAATTCGAGCTATGAGAAAATGACAGTCAATCTGCATTTGATAGGAGAAAAGCAGCCTTTGCTACTCTGCTGATGCGTTTGAACGCCGTCACCCAAAATACTGTCTTCCAGTCGTTTCTGTCCGGCAGTCTGGGCTCCATGGATTCCCCTCAATGGCATCCTCTTCAGGCATTCCACAGTTGTGGATCAGGGCTTGCCAAAATGTCTTCTTCAGACGTCGGAACTGTTCATTTAACACCTCTTTATCAGATACAATTTCCACCTTCTCGTTTGGTGATGCAAAAATCATTTAAAACCATTGGAACCAACCTGGAACCGATTTTAGCTTGAACTAAATTCTTGTCACGTTACTTGAGTATTTTTCCTCACGCTTACAGCATGGGGTATCTCGCTTCATGCTCCTACCTTGCAATATCATTTTGAAGAATGTTGCGGGGGCATTTGACTCCTACTTCATATGGCTCAAGTTTCTTGTCCGAATCCTTAGATTAATTTTCAATTTTTCATTCCGTCCAGCATCACGTTTATAAGTGATCAAAATGTAACTAAAACTTTCTATAAGTTAATGATTCTGTAAAACCTGCCTCAGCGGTTTTTGGATCAACATCTTTTCCCTCCACAGCAAGCTGTTCAAAGATCAGAGCATTCGTCAAGTAAGATCTCCCAACTCCTGTTTCACCGATTAAAAGAATTTTGATAGCTTTGCCACGGCAAGACATTATCAGTTGATCCAGTTGATACTTGAGACCTCTCGTACTGAGTAACTTCTGCTGTCCTTCCTTTCTAGCAAAAGTTCTTGATCTTCTTTTCATTATCCGCAATTTCAATATAAACTATGTTAAAACAAATGTATGATATTCATTGATTTGAGGAAAAAGTGAAATTGATGATCTTTTGTTACAGTTAAATTTAATATTTGAATCATTCTTATAGAGCATTTACCCTACAGTGTAATTTTAATTGATACAGAAACAGCTCAGATTTTTTTAAAAAACGCTGCAGATTCTTTTAAAAAAAAATGACTGTAATAATTCAGGATAAATAAGCAGAGTTGGAAAGTTTCAGACTCGGAAGCCAGACGGAAAATTCTACAGTGGACGCTAAAAAACCATAGAGAACTTCATAGATTGGAGCGTGACTGAACTATTTCTACCCAAAAGATATGAGCCTAAAGATCTGCATGATTCAGGCCAGTCTTTCTTAACTAAGGAAGCAACTTTCTGAAATGGGCTGAATAATGTGTTTACAAAACAGGTCACGTTACGAAGATTTACAAAAGGCCTAAAACATAATCGTTCATTGTGTAAAACGAAGCTTTGTTAAAACGAAAGTAAACATGCCCCGCGGTCATCTCTTATATAAGTTTTTCTTGATTGTATCTACGTTAATAATGAGCTTTTTGTGTTGTTCCTCTTTCCGTGAGAATCAGTCCTATTGAACATAATTGAACGTTGATCAAGTAGCGATCAGACAGTCGCGCGAAATTCTTTGGGAGACATTTCCGGCAAAGGTTGACCCTTCCGTACCGTGACAACTTACAAGTCAAAATAATATATTATAGCTGAGGGAAAATGGATAAGCATTGAATTGAAGTGATGCTGCCTTTTTCAAAATAGCTACCTCAAGCATTCCGCTTGTGCAACAGTTTGCACCGTTGAACTAGTCAAATGTTTCCACCAAAAGGAGCGATTTTTGTTATTTACCCGGGAGGCAATCAATGTTCACGATAAAGAGCGAAGTGTGACTTAACTCTGCCGTGTCAACACAGACCTTTTTGTATCGTGTGATTCATAAAGTAATCTGAGAAATGCAAAGGTCCCGGAGAGAGTAAAAACAATTTATAATTCCAGGTTGGGTGGCTAGGGACGAACCATGGAATTTTATTAAGAGGTGTTAGAGTGGAGAGAGTTAGGCAGCTAAAACTATGCCTTAAAAGGTCAGGTGGTATAAGAAGATGAAAGGTACAGTTTCCCTCTGGTTGGAATAAGAGGGGGGGGGGGGGAAGATGGGAGGATTTAAGGGGAACACAAAGTTTTCAGAGGGAGTGGAGGAGGTATTATTCTCTCCTTGAAAACTATAAAGGGGGGGACTATAGACAATCGCCTGTCAATGCAAGGGGTTTCATTAGAACCCTACAGAACCTTTGGGGGGTGAGGAATCAGGTAAATTTTATTATGACACAACCAAAACCCTCCCGTCCCCCCATCTCCCCTGACGATCAATAATGGCCGGTTTCATGGAAGCTTGGTAGGAAACAGGTGCAAGTAGGCACAGAGGATATATAGATTCAGGCGGGCTTTGTTTGCTCTTCAGTACTGTATAATGAGGTAATTAAACAACGAAGGACTCGGACAAGGCTTTCTCCTATCAAAGTTCACAAACGCCCGGTAAATACTTTTGTCCATATTTTCCGGTAAAATTCAGGCACGGAAACAAGAACTCTATAACCCTTTTCTTTTGATGGTTTTACTAATAACACAAATTTAAGGCTAAAAGACTTCTACCTTTGTAGAATATTTGTTATGTGACATGGAGGAGTAACGTCTTGTGATAACACCCGGCCTAATGAGCGTACTGATCAGAACGAATGGCAGATTGTTAGCAAGAGAAAGAAAAACAAGAAGAGTAAAACACAGAAACAGGGAAACGATGAGGCACAGTCCAACTCCAACGACTCGGAAGATTCTGTGCCAGAGAAAGGCAGCACAACTCTGTTAATTGGACACCCTATGATAAAAAATATCCAAGGTACAAAGTTAGGAGAAGCCGTTGGCCATTGAGTAGTTGTACAACCGTTCTCTGGTGCAACTACAAAAGCTATGAAAGACTACCTGTCTCTCAAGCGACTTTGCTGCTAATATATCAAGCTCTGATTCAGCCACATTTTGACTATTGTAATATTGTTTGGGGAGACTGCGTGATAACTTTGCAGAACAAGGTACAGAAACTACAAAACGGAGCAGCCCGTGTTTTGACTTATTCAAATTATGACGCCGATGCTGGTTACTTGCTTAAGCTCTTGAGATGGAAAAACCTAGCTTCCCAGCAGCAAATACAAAGAGCCACAATGGTCTATAAGTCTCTGCATGGTTTAGCTCCAGATTATTTATGTTCTAAATTTGAAAGGCGAGAAACTGCGTATAACCTATGGGACCCTGAGAATAAGCTTAATGTTCCTTTGCCGCGCACAAACTATTACAAAAGTAGCTTTCGTTATAGTGGCACCACTCTTTGGAACAGACTTCCTCGTGACATGAGACAAGCAAAATCCCTCGGGTTATTTAAGCGTTTAATTAGGGAAGACGTTCAGGCGCAGCATTCGTGGAAAGCACCTTTAGTTAGGTTTGTGCTTTAAGTATAGTTTTTATAGTATCTTATCCATTTAATGCATGTTTATATATTTGAATGTTTTTATGGCCGATGAATTGTCCATGGATAAATAAAGATTATCTATCTATCTATCTATCTATCTATCAAGACAAATCATAAATGACATTTTCCAAAGTTTAATCAATCGGTCCTCTGTATCAAATAACTTCATTGTACTCAACAACTTTATCTGTAGATGCTTCAAACTCGTCTTATCTTGTAAAAAAAAAAAGCTTGGACCTCTAACGAGCCTACATATAACATGCAATCTATCTGAACCTTTTTACTACAGCACACTGATTTAATTTCAGAAACGTGACATGAACCTTCTAAGTATACAGAGTTCATTTTCGTTAACTGATTATATGTCGATAGTCTAACTGGTTGATATTTTAAAGGCACACAGTTTCTCTCTTTTTCACGCTGTTGGTCCCATCTGATTATTCCTTAATACCTTCTGGTCTATCCTTTAAAGCCAAAGTGGGTCGAGAAGTTGGGAAAAACTTCTTAAAATACTTCATAAACCAGCCGAAGAATGTTTGGTACTTTCTACCAAACTTAGCACCAGTCAGCTCACCGATGAAGTTCCCTGTTACGTTGCCCAACATCTCCTTAATAAGGTCTTCAGAGTACGTCTCGTCCACATTTATAGAGGGGCCTGACACCTTTGCAACTTGGCCAGGTGATGTGGCGTACTCCTCTTCTGGTTCATCTGACGTCCCAGTTTTCTCCAAACAGCGGGTCAACTCTTCGTCAAAGTTTAGCTCTTTCAATTTTGCTCTGATTTCTTTAATTGCATTACTTTCTTCGATGGATAAATTACTGGACTGGCCAAGATTGACAACGTTGGCATCTTTCCTTACTTTGCTTTCGTTTCCCTCACCAAGGGTGGAGGAAAATAAAATACGATCGACATTTGCCATTAGGAAAGCAGCTTTTGCGTTCCTGTTGATACGTTTGAAAGCCGCAATCCAAAATGCTGTCAACCAGTCTTCTCTATCTGGAAGTCTTGGATCATCCAACTCTCCGGCTGGCGTAAATGGCACATTAGTCACTGTTATCTCAGGTACTCCGATTGCAACCAAATGTTTCTTTATTGCTTTCTTGAAAGCTAAGTAGCGGTCATTGAAAACGGTTACTTCAGGTACGTCATCCGTCGTCTTGGTTGGAGATAGTGAGACTTCGTTGGCAAAGGTTAAAACCACCAGAGCATGATCCCAAAGTTTCTCCCCCAAGGCTTCTGTAAGCTTCTTTATCGTTTCCAAGTCGTCGGTGCGGAATCGCTTACTGGTCATCTCAGTGCAGAATAGAAACAAGTCGAAGTGGGTTACTTTCTCCTTGATTTTCCGCAGATATTCTTCATCATTGCCGGTTGCGTCTGCGAGTCCTGGAGTGTCAAACACTGTGATAGTTACGCCGTTTTTGACAACCTCGTAAGCAGTTACCTGGAGGACATAGAACTGGAAATTAATACAACATTTAACTCTAACAGTTATTTCGTTATGATATGTCTTGGTATGTTACCTCAGTTGCGGGAAAAAAATGCTTGAAAAAGTTTTATTCATAGGAAAGACCTTTCTGTCTAAGAGACATTGGAAAGAAGTTTTTTCTTACCTTTCGAGTAACTTTAAACCTAACACCTGTAGAGGCATTCGATAATTCTTTCTTGATTTCAAGTATCAAAGATGGGTATTTTCGGAAGAAAATGAGAACAAATAGAGTTTAGACATGCTGCTCGAAAGGACGCGAAATATTATCCATTTTCTATATACAAGTAATGCACAGTAACCCGTTAATGAAAGCACCTCATAATAGTCTAAAAGGTTAAGTAACTGTCAATATCAAAGTAGCTTACGTCATTAGTTTGTGGGTCGATGTCATATCCTTCTGCTGCAAGGTTTTCTCCAATGAGCGCATTTGTCAGATGTGACTTGCCAACCCCTGTCTTGCCACTCAGGAGGATATTAACAGTCTGGCCACCGGAACTGACAAACTGTTCGATCTGATACTCCAAGTTTTTTGCACCAAATATAATCTGGCTAACTTCAGTTGCCGAGGCATCAGAACTTTTCTCTGGGGTCCCTTCCTGTGCCATTCTTGATAACAAAGTCTGAAATAAAATGATATTTACTAAATAAATGTAAAGAGGAAGAAAATAAACTATGTGTAGATTGACTAGACCATGATGGATAGAAAAGTAGAAAGAAATATTTAGTAAGCATCGTCAAAGTAATAATACGCTGTTTGTTTCCCTTAGCCAAAAGATTATGTCGCCGACATAAATACTTTTCGGAAAGCATCCGGCATCAATTGGATAATTAAGTGATTTTTGCTCACACGTGCGTCATTCGTGTCACAGCCTTTAAAGAGTTGATTTGTTCAAACACTTTGGAGACATTTATGAAGACGTAAGTACTTAGTTGTTGCTTACAACGAGAAATCAAAATTCGGCTGCTGATACTCTGACAGTCAGGTGTTTTATTTCCATTAGGGATCAGTCGCCTGAATGCAAGAAAATTTACACCGCCGTGAAAAAATTAGATAAATCTTAAATTTAATTTGCTTGCACTCAATTCACCTTATCCGATTTGGTGTGGTATTGACACTTTAACGCATTGATCAGTTCAGGCATTCAATCCTTAAACCTGCATTTTATTCTCTTCGATCTAAAAACATATTTGTTTTTCATCAAATTCGGGCGTCAAAACTCAGAGTGCTTTGTTCTCCATTTAGTTTTACTTTTTTTAAGTATGCGTTTGGTTTTTCTTTCAAATTATTCAAATAGGCCATTTTTGTGACTCCGAGATGTTGAAGGTTAGTCAGTATTTTGGTAATCTGTTGGCCTGGTAACCATATCTGTCAGTTGTGAAATCGTGTAAGGCTGTTCTCGAGAGAAGCCGGGAAGCGAGCATTCTTGGAAGCTCAGTTCGCTTTAAGAGTGCTCTTGGATTTTCTATCAAATTGTACAAACAAGAAAAAGTTTCTGTGACCCAATAAGCCAAGTACTGTTAACTATTTTGATAATCTGTGGGATATTGTTATTAACCTTATTTTTGTCAGTCGTTATCAAACAACGCGGTCATCGAGAAAAAGACGCGAGGTTCTTGGAATCTTACTTCGCTTTTAAAGTACTCTTAGTTCTTCTTTTAAATTGTACAAACAGGCTATTTGACCTAGTTTTTTCTTTTAAATTATACAAACAGGCTATTTTTGTGACCATAAGAAGCTGAGTTATGGTCAATATTTTGGTCATCTTTTGCCTTTTGTTGACAAACTTATCAGTCAGTCGTTTATTAAACAACGCTGGTATCGAGAAAAAGACGCGAGGATTCTTGGAAAAAGAACAAACATCTTACAACAAATTATCTCACAAAGATTCGTCGAAAAATGTCTCGGAATAAGTTTAAAACTGTCCAAACCCCGTTAAAAACTATTTCTTTTTGGTGACGAGCGAAAGTAGTTCGTGTTACTGATATCGATAACAATATATTACTCCATTTTGGCCTGCAAAATCGGCTCGAACTTCTTCAAGCGTGGATCGCGTATCGTATTCTAATAAAGCTGCTAATTTAACCAGTGTTGTTTAATTCGAAACGGCGACAACTAGTGAAGACCTGAACAAATATAAACCGAATTTTTCGACGTATAGAGGGATACTAAAGAATACACGACAGACGCCATTTGCTTGTGAGACTCTCGTGACGCGTTGCATAGCTTATCTTTGCAGAATTTCTTTAGCCACGCTGAATGCTTGTGATGTACTGTTCTATTAGATGTTGATCGGCAAATCAGTTGCTCAAATAAATTAATTCAACTAACTTACCTTGAAAGATAATGCAAATTCTCGTTTATTCTCGTATTTGCGGGTTTCAGTCTCAAAGTCTTTCGTGAAGATGTTTGACAACCACACTGGTATCTCAGACGGTCTCGAAGAGGGCTGTGTGAGTTACCTTAGCGAAGTGGTGCATTATAATTCGTAACACGAGAAACTAATACACAGGCTCCGCAGTTAACGCGGTCAGCAGTTGACAAAACACTTCGAAGGCGAAGAACGGGAAAGAGGTCTAGGAAGGCATAACTGTTGTGATTGAATTTGACGCTTGCACAATCATTGCACTGCATCTTCTATTTTCTTTCTTTTTGTCCTATGGTATTTTTGACTCGATAAACAGTTTTTCAGCAAGTTTTGGAGACAATTAATAGTACTATGGTCATTGTAGGGATGGATACAAAAATGACGATTCTATCATCATGGTCTATAAGGAAAAATAATTTTCTATTCCATCTTGCCTCAACAAGGCTTTGCTTTTCGTATCGGCTTTAGTTTCTATATGAGTTGTTGCGGGGCAAAGGATAACAGCAAACATTCCGGGAAAAGGCTAAGAGAAAAATGAACACTGAAAACATTAAATGCTCTCGTGAGCGCTACTTGCAGTCACGTTCTCGTACTTATGTCTTGATTATATCACGTTGTACGTATTCAATGTCTCACGTGTGCCATAAGTGTGAGTCAGTGATAACAAAAATCACCCGGGAGACTTGACAAATTCATACGTCAAGTTCTACTTTAAGGTCATCCCAACCCAAAGGTGTGTAATTCTTCCGGTCAAAGATCATACTAAGAACTGTTAGAGCAGCCAAAGTACAACGAACTTTAATACATGTCTCTTTTATCTCATGCTAAACTTGTTGTTTGTTTGTTTTTTGCTTATTTTTAGTACATGTAAAGACCGTGGAAGGTATGGTTTGACTCTAGTTGAAGTAAGAGGAGGGGGGGGGAGGAGCGGGAGGATTTTAGGAGGAACACAAACTTTTAAGAGGGAACGGAGGGGGTATCAGTCTTTCCTTGAAAACTATGAAGGGGGACTATAGATAATTGCCTGTTGATGAGGGGGGTTCATTAAAACCCTACAGAGCCTATGGGGAGAGGCGATAAAATCAGGAAAATTTTATTAGGACACAACCAAAATCCTCCCTTTCCCCCAGTCCCCCCAGCGATAAAGCTAGAAGCTTGATAGGAAACAGGCACAAGTAGGCACAGAGAATATATAGATTCAAGCGGGCTTTGTTTGCTCTTCAGAACTGTATAATGAGGTGATTAAACAACAAAGGACTCGGAGAAGGCTTTCTCCCATTAAAGTTCACAAACGCTTGGTAAATACTCTTGTCCATCTTTTCTCGTAACATTCAGGTACGGAAACAAAAATTCTATAATCATTTTCTTCTGATGGGGTTATGGCTGTTATTGATAACACAAATTAAAGACAAATCACGAATTACATTGTTCATAGTTTAATAAATCGGTCTTCTTTATCAAATGGCTTTATTGCTTTGCTATTTGTTTATGTGATATTCATGGCTTCAAGCCAGCTTGACCTTGTGTTTCAAAGAAAATAATTTCGCCATACTGAATAATTTGGTCTGCAAAATCTGAATTTGAAATGGTAACAACAGGAGACTACGATCTACACTGATTCGTCGCCGATATAAACGTGAAAGATTCACATCACTCAAAGCTTCTACCCTTCAGTTCGACTATGAATATTATCTCAGAGTAATTTGATTATATTTCACGGTGCGTGAGTACTGATCGAATTTTCGTGTACTTTCTGCCTTCTGACTTTGAAATGGTATACGAAAATACTACTGATTCTACACTGATTTGACACCGATTGGACGGGGGAAAAAGACTGGGAGTTGGCCACAGCCTCCCACTTTTTGTACTACGTTCTCCTCCCGTACTTTTGTGTTCCTCTGCCTCCCGACTCCCGCCCTCCATTGTATTACCCCCGCCTTCAGGTTTAATAGGCAGCTAAAACCATACATCAAGCTTTCAGTTCAACAGATGCGTAAACACCTTGATTGCATACTTGATTAAATTTGATGCAGCTTAGAATTAGTGTCTAGCGGGGGGAGGGACTGAGAGTTGGTCACAGCCTCCCACTCACGTACTATGTTCTCTCGCCTCCTGTACTTTTGTGTTCCTCTGCCTCCCGACTCCCGCCTTCCATTGTATTTCCCCCGCCGTCAGGTCTATAGGCGGCTTAAAACCATAAATCAAGGAAACGATATCAAAAAAAAATCCTACACGATCGTGAACATGAAAGACAAGAAATCCCACGTGATTGCGGTTAAGGACCGATATGAAAGACGAGAAATCCTACACGATTGTGGACATATGAAAATTGCCTATCAATGAGTGGGATTCATTAGAACCCTACAAAGCCTTTGTGGGGGGATCAGATAAATTCTATCATGACACAACGAAAATCCTTCTTTCCTCTCATCCCCTCAGGCGATAAGTAATGGTCGGTCTCACAGAAGCTAGAAGCATGATAGGAAAAAACAGGCACAAGTTGGCACATAGAATAAACAGATTCAATCGGGCCTTGTTTGCTCTTCAGAACTGCATAATGAGGAAATTAAACAACGAAGTACTCGGACAAGGCTTTCTCCTATCAAAGTTCACAAACACCTGGTGAATACTTTCACTTTCCTGTAAAATTCAGGCACGGAGACAGAAACTCTATAATCCTTTCCTTTTGATGGTGTTACTAAAAACACTAATTAAAGACAAATCACAAATGACATTTTCCAAAGTTTAATGAATCGGTCTTCTAAATCTGAATCAAATAGCTTCATTGTACTCAGCAACTTTATATGCAGATGCTTGAAACTCGGCTTATCTTGTAACAAAAAAACGCTTGGACCTCTAACGATCCTACATATAACATGCAACCTATCCGACCCTTTTTTCTACAGTGCATTTGTTTTCAGAAATATGGCATGAACCTTTTAAGTATACAAAGTTCATTCTCGTTGATAGATTATATGTTCAAAATCTAAGTGGTTGATATTCTCAATGGCACACGGTTTACCTCTTTTCACTCTTTTGGTGATCATTCCTTCTTGCTCTCTGGCCTATCCTTTAAAGCTAAAGTGGGTCGAGAAGTTGGGAAAAACTTCTTAAAATACTTCGTAAACCAGCCGAAGAATGTTTGGTACTTTCTACCAAACTTAGCACCGGTCAGCGCACCGATGAGGTTCCCTGTTACATCGCCAAACATGTCCTTAAAAAGGCCTTCAGAGCACGTTTCGTCCACCTTGATGGAGGGGCCTGACACCTTTGCACCTTGACCAGGTGATGTGGGACACTCTTCTTCAGGTTCATCGGACGTCTCAGTTTTCTTCAAACAGCGGCTCAACTCTTTGTCAAAGGCGTTCTCTTTCAATTTTGCTCTGAATTCTGCAATTGCATTATTTTCTTCGATGGATAATTTCTGGCTAAGATTGACAACGTTGCCATCCTCCCTTACTTTGCTTTCTTCGTTTCCCTCACCAATGGTGGAGGAAAATAAAATACGATCGACATTTGCCATCAGGAAAGCAGCTTTTGCGTTCCTGTTGATACGTTTGAAAGCTGCGATCCAAAATGCTGTCAACCAGTCTTCTCTATCTGGAAGTCTTGGGTCATCCAACTCTCCGGCTGGCGTAAATGGCAGATTAGTCACTGTCATTTCAGCTACTCCTATATCAAACAAATGTTTCTTTATCGTTCTCTTGAAAGCTAAGAAGCGGTCATTGAAAACGGTTACTTCAGGTACGTCAGCCGTCTTCTTGGTTGGAGATAGAGGGACTTCGTTGGCGAAGGTTAAAACCACCAGAGCATGTTCCCAAAGTTTCTCCCCCAAGGCTTCTGTAAGCTTCTTTATCGTTTCCAAGTCGTCGGTGCGGAATCGCTTAGTGGTCATCTCAATGCAGTACAGAAACAGGTCGAAGTGGGTTACTTTCTCCTTGATTTTACGCAGATATTCTTCATCATTGCCGGTTGCATCTGCAAGTCCTGGAGTGTCGAACACTGTGATAGTCACGCCGTTTTTGACAACCTCGTAAGCATTTACCTAAAGGACATAAAACAGGAAATTAATACTACATTTAACTCTAACAGAGATTTCATTATGATATGTCTTGGTATGTTACCTCAGTTGCGGGAGAAAATCACATGAAAACGTTTTATTCGTAGGAAAGCCCTGTCTGTCTAAGAGACCTTGGAAACTGGTTTTTTCTTATTCTTCGAGTAATTTTTTACCTAATACCTATAGAAACATTCCATAATTCTTTCTTGATTTCAAGTATCAAAGATGGGACTTTCCGGAAGAAAATGGGTACAGATGGAATTTATACAAGCCGAGAAGGACGCGAAATATTATTCCTTTTCCTATCTACAAGTAATACACAGTAACCCATCAAGCCGATAAAGTCTGGACTTACGACTGTACGGGCGTCCGTACAAGGCGCTACTTTTAGCATGCGCGCCAACTGTACTGCGGGCACTATCTTGGCCATTACGTAATGGAAGGGCGAAGGAGAAGGTAATTCGCAGGCACGATTGCGTGCGTAACTTGGATACCCCATTAGTGTGCGCTAGGAGACACCAGCAGATGACAATGAAGTGCTCATATTCGAATACTTTAGTGCAGTGCACCGGGGACACACGGTTAGGCACCACACGAGGGCTTCACGTGGGCAGAGCAACAATACCGGCAGAGCTTTGTCAACCAAAGGAAATTGTTCTAATTCAAGTGAGTGGAGAGAGAGTTTTGAGTGAAAATAAACTGAAGAGAAAGAGACAAAGCGATCAAAGAAGGCAAGAAGTAATAGGCGGAAAGAGATTCGAGAAAAACGCACATGGACGGCGAGAGGAAAGCAAAAGAAGACAAGAAAAGGCATAAGTAAAAAGGCGAATGTCTTTACAGACGCTCCTGAAAACAGACTGAAAAGAGGCCATCAACAAAACGGACTACAAAGAATCCGAGAAAGAAGAGGAGGTAAGTCATGTCTTATCTAGGTTTTCTCTTACTCTAAGGACCAGAAAAATTCAGACCTTTTTTCAACAGTCGTCGTTTGATACTAGTTCAGTTTATGATTCAAATCACGTCTCGGCCTTCATCACCTAAAAATCCTCGCGCCGGTTCATCTCTTGAATCACATTTCAAAGTGTTCGAATTCATCAAGTTATTTCTTATCCAATCCTTTGGAGACGTGGTGTTAAGGGAAAGGAAGTTATCTTACGGATTTTGTTTTGCCCAGAGTTTTCAAATGATAGCGAACGGCGTGAGCAAGTTTTTTACCTCTTTCTCTCTTCAGTTAGCTATAGCAAGATTTACTCTATTCATTTTTAAAAAAATCGCGCTTTGTCGAAGTTTTGTTTTACCCGAAAAACGAATTATTGGCCTTTCCTAAAGTTGATACATAATGAGATTGAGTCAGCGATGTTCATGTTTACATTAAGTATGCGCGGTAATTTGATTTTGACTATATTGTCATGTGAGAACCCGTCAAACATCTGACAATTAAATTACTGAGAGCAAATGTGCGGTGCGATCAAACTCACGGGCCAACTGGAGTTAGTCCTTCTACGGGATGACTGAATTTCATTGTTTGGTCATGGTACTTTTCAGTGCTATGTTTTCATGCTTTCTACTCGATTCGTTCGAACTTCAGAAAATGGTTTGTCTCACAATACATGAAGCCACTTTCCCTTTGCTCACCATCTCGTACTAAATGCTCGGGTTATGATGAGCATGCATGCGATACGATAATGTTCTCCTAATGCTAGAAACTGAAGAACTGATCTCTAAAATTGATTGTCGTCACTTTTTGCAAGAAGCGTCCGAGCTGTGATCGTGTAATTAAACGGGGTTCTGGCAACTGGAGAGCACGCTGGTAAGCACATGCATATGGTTGGCGTAAATAATTGCTACAGTTTTCGAATTCAAGAGCAGTTTTTAGGAGTCCGTTTCTGTAACCTTCCTGGATATTTTCTGCTGAATTCATTGAGGTACAATCTCGGAATTTCATAAGTGCTAATGAACGATAAATTCGTATCGGCTCTATAATTTTGGGAAGTTCTGTTAACACGTTTTCCACAATTCGTGAACCATTTCTCTAACCTGCCTAGATGTTTTCTCTTGAATTAATTGAGTCAAACCCAAGGAATTTCATCAGTAATTAAGAACGATTAATACGTATATGTAGCACAAGTCAAGCACATTTTAAACTTTCCATTCGATTTCAGGGAACTATACTTCATTGCCTCTCGATAAATTGGCATAGCATACTTTATTAATTATTTTATTATTTTGTAGCTCCAAAAGGCCGGCTTATACCCCTGGAGGTACTGAACTTGATATACTTGATACACAAGGCGCCCTTAAGGAGGAAGGTTAGAATAAAATTTTTATGACAGTATATTACACCCAGTTTCTAAATGTCGATAATTGCTTAAAAAAAATTCTTATTATAGCTGTATTCAGAAGCATAGATATGTAGGTAATATGCTTCTGCTCTATTTTATGGTAACAGTTTCTTTTTGTGTAACATATATCTGCTCCCTTAATTTCCTCCTTAACCTGCCTGCAGATATTTAAATTTTTTATTTTAATTCAAGTGTGAGAAGATAAATACTGAATATCAGTATCCGTACAGAATTCAGGTGAGAACATCAGTAAATTAATTAATGTTATATGCTTCTTCTGAATCTTTAATTTTATTGCCCTGGTTTTTTTTCACAAAGCCTCTTTTATATCTCTGTGAGCCAGCTAATAATTATAATTTCACTGAACTGATATGCCATATTTCAGTAGTTTTTTTAAATTCAGCTTTGAGTTTTTGGCATTTACTATTTTAAAATTCAGGAATGGCATTCCCTTTTCATCCTTGTAAAGAGATGTTACATATTTCTTTAACTAAAATCTGAATCATGAAGTCAACTTAATTTCAATGAGTTTGAAACTATATACCACATAAGAACACTTTACTGGAGCATAATGTTATATTTCTTCTTCTTTCTGGTACATATGATTACTGAGTGTCTTAGCCCTTTAACTCCCAAGATTTCATTAGTAATTCTCCATACTATCTGCCCTACAATATTTGTCACTAACATAACATTAATTATTAATGTGATGCTAGTTCTGAGAATTTGGAATTGGATCAACCAGTAATCCCCTAATTGATATTTTTCTTTATTCTCATTACTTGTCTGCTTCTTACTGTACTGATAGTGTGAGGAGAAATTCTGTCTAAGTCACTTAAAATATTCTTATGCTTTCAAATGTAACAAAAAAATGTGATGAGAATCTGATGTTATGAAATACTTACAGTGGAAAATGTTAAATGTTCATGGAAAATGCTTTTCTGTAAAAATGGGGATACAGAAATTTTCAAAGCTGATAGAAATAAGTTGTTGGCAAGTAATGAAAAGTAAATTGACAATTATACCTTAATGCTTCACATGCTTCACTCATACATGTCAGTTGTGTGTACCCACCATTGTAGAGGTGTCTTTAAAAAGATTTTTTGGTGTGACTGTTGTTCTTTGTTGATATTTGGAGCCATGCAGACAAGTGATGCAAATAAAGAAAGAATATATCAATTATGGGATTACTAATTGATCTGATACCAAATTCTCCACACTAACATAATGAGAATCATTTGGCAGACGATCAGGAGAATTAACCTAGAGATCTTGGGAGTTAAAGGGTTAAGCACTGAACTTCAATTTTTTGTACACATGGCACCGTCCAATAAAGGGGGAAGAGTAGAAGACCATAGAATGATGTTTAATATGCACTTTCACTTACCACAATCATTTATTCAAGCAATACTCTACATAGATAAAACTGATTGCATGATGTCTTAAACCCTTTACACCCTAACATCAGTGCATAGTCTCCATACTGTACTCTATACATTTTACAATTAATATATGTGCTGGCAAGGAGAATTTTTTTTAACAATCAAGATGTTCTTCAGTTTATTATCATTCTTTTATTCTCATGACCTTAATGCTTGATTCAGGTGTGATATTGAAAAGAGAAATTAGATGTTAGTCACTCTCAGGGATTAAAGTGTTATTAACTATACACTTTTCATATGCTCCTCACATTTGTGATTGTTAGGAAAGCAAACAAATGAATGAACAGAAGACAGTGAAATGATGGAAACTGTAAACTTTACCAAAAGATAAAAAATATCACAGAATACTTAAGAAGGGAAGCTTGAATTGTGCTAGCTAATTTCCTCTAATGCCCATGTTTTTAATCAAATAAAATTTAATCAGTTGTAGAGTTTGTCTGTAATGTGTCAAATTACCAGTGTGGACTTGATTCTTCTCAGATGTCAGCTGGCAAAAGATAGATACTAAAATAGATGACCATAAGAAAAAGTACACATTATAAAATATCACACTGAAGTGGTGGCATGATCGATTTGTGATATTTAGAATGACAGAAGAAGGAAAAACACATTGAGCTTTTTCCTATTCACCAGTAAGTTAATTAGATTTTGGATTCTACATTCAAACTGGGTGAGATTAAATTTATTCATATCATGCTTCATTATGGTTTGTTTACCCAGAAAGCTTATTGTTATTGTAGCTTCACAGATGTTTTTGTTGCTGTCACAATTAACATTCATAACAAAGTTTCATTTAACATAGAATGTTTCAAGAACTTAATCTTCCTTTCTTTTCAATACCATTTACTATTTCTGGAGCACAATTAAAGGTAGCTGGTTATTAAATAAATTATAACTTTTGATTCAGGTAATTATTTGAATATGCAAATGTTTTCATATGTAACAGGATGATCAAGCTGAAGATAGCCTCAAAAAGGAGTGAACTCCACTGTTACAATTAGGTGACTCATTTGGAAACTTAAGCACTTGGTAGATACACCTTGGCTTGCAGTTCTGATGATTACAGTTTGCTGAGGTAATTGGAATGTTAGTTCCCATGCAGGAACCTTCCACATGACCTGTACGGTCATACACCATGAGATAACTTTAGAAAAATGCATTTGTGTCAGTAGAACTATTGTAAGTAGAGTACCATCTAGTGACAAAAATGAATGATTTCCTATAAGCATGAATGTTTAGGAGAAGTTAGGGTGGTAATTGGCCGTTTTTTTGCCAGGATGCATAGGGTCTGATGATTGTAATGTTTATCTTTTAGCTTTCAAACTTTCAACCTTGTAATAATTGTTACTGTTTACCATATCTATTTCCTTGTACCTTAAGCCCTCAAAAGTTGAAGCAGGTGAGTCAATAACCTGACTTCCTTTGTTTGGAATTGTGTGATTATATAATTTTGCTGTGTAAGTTACCACATTGTAACATGCAATATTATTATTTAGATTGCATTAAATACTCTTGCTCAAGCTTTCATTAATGTATGTGTTTCTTACATTGATATAAAGAATTGGTCACAAGATATGTGAGTTCTAAAGGGTGGGGATCTGGAAAAGCGAGGATCCTCCTTTAATTAGGACTGAAATTAATAGGGGATCCTTGATCCTTTATTAATTCATGTTTTTGCTATGACCTGCCTCCTCCCCTGCAATGTTTTAGGGCACATAAATGAAGAGAACATTTTTTGTATTTTGATGCATGAAAGTTAGTTAATTGGCATCAACATGATGCAAAAAGCAAGGATATAAATGCCTTAACTTATAAGTTAAAAACTTACACTAAGAGAGTTATGCAGACCACATCTTACTTTTTATCCTCCTCTGGATATCTATTCAAATAACATAGTCACTATCAGTCTCATTCTGTCACTTTCCCCCAAGCTTGTGGAGGATGATAGCAGGAGTATTTCTTTAAATGAAAAAAGGAAAGCCTGCTCTTTTACCAAAGATAGTTCTTTTGTGCATTATCAGTACAAACCTAATCTAATTTGTACATGAAGGTGATTGTTCCAGATAGGCTAACCTCATAAATTAGTTGTGAAAATTTCTTGAACCTGTCATCATGTTAATGTTTGACTCAATTTTACCTCACTAAACTAGACTGAGTAAATAGAAACTTGAAATTTGTTTGTTCTCTTTTTGAGGTGTGCATAAAAATTTCGAAGACATTGTAGGCTCGAAATAAAGGTTTATAAGAAATCTGCATTTGTGTGTGTTTTGAACATATAAAACCAGGATTATGCCTACTTCAAATGACTTTACTATGTGCTGTACAGGTACAGGCAGGTGTTGTAAAAAAGTTTGCTTAGCTTTTTCATTAGTAAATATTCCTTTTTCTAAGAATCGTGTTTATCTGGCCCATACTGAATTCTAATTCTTCAACCAAATTTTATTTTCTTTTGAATATTCTCAGATCCCCTCATATCAGTAAATATTCATGTAATTTAAACAATTTCATGAAATCTTGCAGAAGTATGGCACATTATTTTTTTTCTCTGATCCTCCTAACATTTTATTGTGTGTAGGGATTGGTATTGGTTATAAAAGTATAGTCAAATAAAAGTTTTGTGCACAGTCTAGACATTAAATTTATGTAATAAAATATTGTATCCTTCTTAAAACCAGTTTATTGGAATAAGAATGAGTTACCAAGCACAAGTATGGCTTTCACAATTATAGTTTCCAGGTTTGAAAAAAGGCACTGCCTACTAAAATCCTCAGTTCCTTTGCCCTGACAGCCCAACCTCATCAAAACATTGCCAACAGGAGTGATTAGCAAATAAATGATACAGACAAGAGAGCCTATTCCCACATACACCCTCCTCAATCCTGTTAGCGTATTATGGACATGTCATTTCAAACATGGTGTATATGCCACACATTTTCCATTTAATTTATAACAAATCATTTGAAATAGTGTTTAAAAGTTGTGGAATATGGTTGGGTTGAAATGTAATACAAAGACCTACCAGTAGATAGTCAAATGAAAACCTTTTACATATCAATAAAGTTTATAGTTGCGTTTCATGTTAACATGTTGCAAAACTCCACCTTCCAGTAAATTCAATTATTTGCAAACATGAGAAAATACCATTTAAAACTTCTCAACGCCGTGTATATCCAGCCAGAGGACAGTCATTGAACAAGAATAGCCAAAAGAGAAAAGGTTTAGAAACGTTAGGGAAAAACGTTGGGGCAAGCAGTCATACCTGGCAACTTCAAGAGAAGATTTAAGAGAAGCCCATACGATTCTGGCGCACTGTTTTACTGACTCACAGTGTTCTCAAGTGTATACTCTTCGGTCGACTAGTAATGTCTTAATTAACGCGAAGTAGTTTACTGTCGTTAATTTCTTTCAATTTCGACTCATTTTCCCGCACCGAAATTATAAGTCACGTTCAATAGAATATAATTTCAACTGACGCTGACATCATAGACTTTACCTGAAGACGAAAACATTCCCTATCTTCGAAAATTTTATCAAAAAATCAGAAGCAACAACAAAGGTTCTCAGTTGCTTGAAGACACCGCTCACTAACATGCTATACGTGTTGATCGCTTTGCAATTTGTGAGAACGTCGTCCCCAGTTTCCAGACCTCGTCAACTCTTCCCTCTCCACCTCCCGGACTGGTCCCTAAATCCCCTTGAGGAAACTCTTCCACAGCCAGTGCTGAAGAGTTTTGTTACAGTTTTAATTATAGTGAAGGGCTGGAAAATAAACTAACAGTAACTCCACTTTTAGGCTTGGCTTAATCTATATATTAGTTTAAAAGGTAAAGTAAATGTCAATATTAAAGTGGCTTACGTCGTTAGTTTGTGGGTTGATGTCAAATCCTTCTACCGCAAGGCTTTCTCCAATGAGTGCATTTGTCAAATAAGACTTGCCAACTCCTGTCTTGCCACTTAGAAGGATATTAACTGTCTGGCCACCGGAACTGACAAACTGTTCGATCTGATACTCCAAGTTTTTTGCACCAAATATAATCTGACAAACTTCGGAGGTCCCTTCCTGTGCCATTCTTGATAACAAAGTCTGAAAAAAATAATATTTATTTTTGTAAAGAGGAAGAAAACAAATCATGTATAAATGGACCAATCCATGATAGATTGAGAAGTAGTAAGAAAAATTTAGTAAGCATTACATCGGTTACCAGAGGACACCTTTAAATATTATTTTCGCTTTGCGATTTGTTTATGTGATATATTCATGGCTTCAAGCTCGCTTGACCTTGTGTTTCAAAGAGAATAATTTCGCCATATGGAATGATTTGGTTGTCTGCAAAATCTGAAGCTCGAAAAGTGAAAATATGAGACCTGATCCATATAATTCGTCGTACATAAATATTGAACGATTCACATCACTCAAAGCTTCTACCCTTCAGTTCGACTATGAATATTATCACATAGCAAATTGAATGTATTTCACGGTGCGTGAGTACTGATTGAATTTTCATGTACTTTCTGCTTCGACTATCATAATAACAGTTTATAACTTTGAGCAAGCACTGAAACATTTACGTTCACTTAACCCACTTTGATAATAAGGCCCACTTTTATCAAAAAGGGTTTTCCGTAGCTTTACGACGAAACTTTATTCCAAAGCGATTGCAGAATCAAAACCAGTGGAAACAAAAGAAGTATTCAACTAAAGATTAACGTGCATCACTTACCCCCGGAAATCGCACCAAGTATGGCACTTCGAAGGAGATTCATATCTACTACTAAACATTTCCGTTGAGCGTGTTTACTACATTTAAGAGAAGAATGCAATCAAATACTCGAACTGTGTGTGGTTTGCGGCTAAGCAGGCATGATTTGTGTATATTATAAGTGATTCGGTTAAAGATCAACTGTGTGGTTTACCCCGGAGGGTAAATTGCACATTTGTAGAGCTTTCCTTTACTAAATCTTCCATGGGCTGTTTTATCTTGTCAATCGTACTGGAACCCTCCACCGATTGTATTCGCTTTTCGTACATGATTATACTGCTAAGGATGTGTAACTAAGCTAAGATTTTATATATGCCGTGATTTCAACCACTATTATTCCAGTATAAGTCTTCAGCGTCGTCCGAAATCGCGGAATGTAAAAGAGTGAAGGTAAACATCCTGCTAGTTGCAGTGTGTGGCACTTTCAGTATTGTAAAACTAGTCTTCTGCTCTTTCTTTTAGGAAACACGTTGATGACTGGCTGCCGTTTAATTGGTTATACTCGAAAGGTTTCCCATGCTAGTCGGAGTTCGGGCTTTATTATCTGATTTTCAAATGGTATACGAAAATACTACTGATTTTACGCTGATTTAACGCCGATTGGATGAAAATGATCACGTTACTCGGTCACTTACCGTTTTGAAACTGCTGTGGCCAACGCGAAGTGATTGAAGCTTTCAGTTCGACAGATGGCGTTAACGCCTTGATTGCATGCACGGTTGAATTCGTTGCAGCTTAGAATTAGTGTCGGGGGGGGGGGAGGGAAGGGGAAGGGGGGGAAAGAGACTGAGGGTTGGGCAAAGCCTCCCGTACTTTTGTGTTGCTCTGCCTCCTGCCTCCCGTACTTTTGTGTTGCTCTGCCTCCCGAATCCCGCCCTTTATTTTATTACCCCCGCCTTCAGGTGAATAGGCAGCTAAAACCATACATCAACGAAACGATATAAAATAAAAGAAATCCTATACGATTGTGGATATACAGCGATAGTAAAGTATTAGTACTCTGCAGAGCCTTTCGGGGGAGGGGGAGAACTCTCTTATGACACAACCAAAATCCTCCCATTTCGCTATTCCGCCCCAGGCGATAAATAATTGTCGGTCTCATAGAGATTAGAAGCTTGATAGTAAACACGCGCAAGTAGGGACAGAGAATAAACAGATTCAAGCTGGCCTTGTCTGCTTTTCAGAACTGTATAATGAGGACATTAAACAAGGAAGGATTCGGACCAGGCTTTCTCCTTTCAAAGTTCACACACGCCTGGTAAATACTTTTGTCCGTCTCTTCTGGTAAAATTCAGGCACGGAAATAAAAACTCTAATCCTTTCCTTTTGATGGTGTTACTAAGAACACCAATTAAAGACAAATCACAAATGACATTTTTCAAAGTTTAATTCATCGGTCCTCTGAATCAAATCGCTTCATTGTACTCAACAACTTTATATGCAGATGCTTGAAACTCGTCTTATCTTGTAACAAAAAATCGCTTGGACCTCTAGCGAGCCTACATATAACATGCAATCTATCTGAACCTTTATTCTACAGCACGTTTGATTTCCGAATCGTAGCATGAACCTTTTAAGGATACAGAGTTCATTCTTGTTAATAGATTATACGTTCATAGTCTAACTGGCTGATATTTTTAATGGCACACAGTTTTTCTTTTTCACCCTTTAGGTCACCATCTAATCATTTCTACACGCCTTCTGGTCACACCTTTGAAGCTAAAATGGGTCAGGAAGTTGGGTAAGACTTCTTAAAGTACTTTGTTAGTCGGCCGAAGAATGTTTGGTACTTTCTATCAAACTTATCACCGGCCAGCTCATCGACGAATTGCCCTGGTACATCGCCCAACATCTCCTTAATGAGTTCTTCAGAGTACGTTTCATCCACATTGATGGAGGGACCTGACACCTTTGCATCTTGGCCAGTTGATGTAAGGCACTCCTCTTCAGGTTCATCAAATGTCTCAGTTTTCTCCAAAAAGCCGCTCAATCTTTTGTCAAAGTCGCTCTTTTTCAATTTTGCTCTGAATTCTTTCATTGCATTACTTTCTTCCATGGATACGTTACTGGACTGGCCAAGATTGACAACATTGCCATCTTTCCTTACTCTGCTTTCTTCGTTTCCCTCACCAAAGGTGGAAGAAAGTGAAATACGGTCGACATTTGCCATCAGGAAAGCAGCTTTTGCGTTCCTGTTGATACGTTTGAAAGCTGCGATCCAAAATGCTGTTAACCAGTCTTCTCTATCTGGAAGTCTTGGATCATCCAACTCCCCGGCTGGCGTAAATGGCAGATTAGTCACTGTTATCTCAGGTACTCCGATAGCAACCAAATGTTTGTTTATGGCTTTCTTGAAAGCTAAAAAGCGGTTATTGAAAAAGGTTACTTCAGATACGTTATCTTTCTTTTTGGCTGGCAATAGTGAGACTTCGTTGGCAAAGGTTAAAACCACCAGAGCATGTTCCCAAAGTTTCTCCCCCAAGGCTTCTGTAAGCTTCTTTATTGTTTCCAAGTCGTCGGTGCGGAATCTCCGACTGGTCATCTCAGTGCAAAACAGAAACAGGTCGAAGTGGGTTACTTTCTCATTGATTTTCCGCAAGTATTCTTCATCATTGCCGGTTGCGTCTGCAAGTCCTGGAGTGTCGAAAACTGTGATACTTACACCGTTTTTGACAACCTCGAAAGCAGTTACCTGAGGGACATGAAACAGATGATTAATACAACAATCAATTCTAACAATGATTTCATTATGATATGTCTTGGTATGTTACCTCAGTTGCAGGAGAAAAATGCATGAAAAAGTTTTATTCAAAGGAAAGCCCCGTCTGTACTAAGAGAGACTGGAAACTGGTTTTTTCGTATTCTTTGGATAACTTTCTACCTAATACCCATAAATGCATTCAATAATTTGTTCTTGATTTCGAGTATCAAAGATGGGACTCTTCGGAAGAAAATAAAAAAGCGGGAGTTTAGACATGCTGCTGCTGAGAAGGACGCGACACATTATTGCTTTTGCTATCTTCAAGTAATACACAGTAACCCGTTAATGAAATCACCTCATAATAGTTTAAAAGGTTGAGTAACTGTCAATATCAAAGGAGCTTACGTTATCAGTTTGTGGGTCGATGTCATATCCTTCTACTGCAAGGCTTTCTCCAAGGAGCGCATTTGTCAAATAAGACTTGCCAACTCCTGTCTTTCCACTCAGGAGGATATTAACTGTCTGGCCACCGGAACTGACAAACTGGTTCAACTGATACTCCAAGTGTTTTTCACCAAATATAATCTGACTAACTTCAGATGCCGAGGAACCGGACCTTTTCTCTGGGGTCCCTTTCTGTGCCATTCTTGACAACAAAGTCTGAAATAAGATAATATTTATTAGTAAAAAGAGGAAGAAAACAAAGCAAGTGTAAATTGAACAAACCATGATAGATAAAAGAGTAATTAAAATAATTTAGTAAGCATTGTCAAAATAATAATACGCTGTTTCAGTTTCCTCGGCAAAAAGTGTATACATCAGTTACCAGAGGACACCTGTAAATATTTTTTTCGCTTTGCGATTTGTTTATGTGATATATTCATTGCTTCAAGCTAGCTTGACCTTGTGTTTGAAAGGGAATATTTTCGCCATATTGAATCATATGGTTGTCTACAAAATCTTAAATTCGAAAAGTGACAACATGAGACCCGATCCATATAATTCGTCGTATAAAAAGATTGAGCAATTCACTTCACTTAAAGCTTCTACCCTTCAGTTCGACTACGAATATTATCAAGGATCTAGAGCAAATTGAATATATTTTACGGTGCGTGAGTACTGATCAAATATTCATGTACTTTCTGCTTCGAATATCATAGTAACAGTTCATAACTTTGAGCAAGCGCTGAAACATTTTCGTTCACTTAACCCACTTTGATAAAAAGGCCCCCTTTTGTCAAAGAGAGTTTTTTGTAGCTTTACGACGTAACTTTATTTCAAAACCATTGCAGAATCAAAACCAGTGGAAACGAAAGAATTATTCAACAAAAGATCAACATGCATCACTTATTCTCGGAAATCGTACCAAGCATGGCACTTCAAAGGAGAGTCATATATATTCTATTAAACATTTCCGTCGAGCGTGTTCACTACATTTAAGAGAAGAATGCAATCAAATACTCGAATTGTATGTGGTTTGCACCTTAGTAGGCATACTTTGTGTATATTATGTGCGTCGGCTAGGGATCAACGATGTGGTTTACCCTGGAGGGTAAATTACACAGTTGCTCAGTTGTCTGCTACTAAATCTTCCATAGGCTGTTTTATCTTGCCAATCGTACTGGGAGCCTCCGCCGATTGTATTCGCTTTTCGCATGTAATTTGGCTAATATTTCATTTTTACCGTGATTTCAACCACTCTTATTCGAATATAAGTCTTCAGCGTCGTCCGTAATCGCGGAATATAAAAGAGTAAAGGTAAACATCCAGCTAGTTGCAGTGTGTAGTATTTTCAGTATTACAAAACTAGTCTTCAGCTCTTTCTTTTAAAAAGGAAACACGTTGTTGGCTGGTTGCCGTTAAAGTGGGTGATACTCGGAAAGTTTTGTCATGCCAGTAGTAGTTCGTGCTTTGTTATCTGATTTTCAAATGATATACGAAAAGACTACTGATTCTACGCTTATTTAACGCTGATCGGACGAATATGATCACGTTATTCGATCACTTACCGTTTTGAAAATGCTGTGTCCAACACGAAGTGATTGAAGCTTTCAGTTCAACAAATGCGTTAACGCCTTGATTGCATGCATGGTTGAATTCGATGCAGCTTAGAATTAGTGTCTAGCGGGGGAGGGGGGGGAGGGAGAAGGGGGGGGGAAGAGACCGGGGAGAAGGGGAGGAAGAGACCGGGAGTTGGTCACAGCCTCCCACCTCTTGTACCGCGTTCTTCCGCCTTCCATTCTTTTGTGTTCCTCTGCCCCACGACTCCCGCCCTACATTGTATTACCCCGCCTTCAGGTTAATAGGCAGCGAAAACCATACATGAAGGAAACGATATAAAATACAAGAAATCTTCCACGATTGTGGACATGCAGCGATATGAAAGACAAGAAATCCTACACGATTGTGATTATACACCGATATGAAAGACAAGAAGTCCTACACGACTGTGGATATACACCGATATGAAAGACGAGACATCCTTCAAGATTGTGGATATATAGAGGGTTTGTGTCGATCGCTTTTAAAGGTCAGGTGGTATAAGACCATTAAAGGTGCAGTTTGACTCTAATTTGAATAAAAGGGGAGGGGGAGTGAGAGGATTTTATGGGAAACACAAAGTTTTCAGACGGAACGAAGGGGTATCAGTCTTTCCTTGGAAACTATTAAGAGGGGACTATTGATAATTGCCTGTCAATGAGGGGGGTTCATTAAAACCTTACAGAGCCTTTCGGGAGGGGTAAACTTTATTATGACACAATCAAAATCCTCCCGTCCCGCCATCCCCCCTGGCGATAAACAATGGTCCGTCTCATTACAAAGTTTAATGAATCAGTCCTCTGTATCAAATAGCTTCATTGTACTCAGCATCTTTTTCTGCAGATGCTTTAAGCTATAACGAGCCTATATTTCTCAAACGCGCAAACATATTTCTTAGTCGAAAGGATCGCTGCAGGAAACATGACTAGCTTTAATTCATTAGCTTCGCGGCACCGTTCTTAAAGAGACCGAAAGTTGAAGGCGGAC